TATATAATTATTCACACAAAAACATTAATACCTACAAAAAAAGAACAGTAATATACACCATGTAAATATCCTTGTAGCACGTCGACATGCACACACGAAAGACTTTCCTTAGACCCTGTAACAACCCATCGAAGAGGTGCCACAACAAGCACATCTTCCCCTTATCATCTGGGAGGTTGAAAGTCAGTTGACCCCTGCTGACAACAAAGGATTCTGCAAATCCTTTGAACAAATCACAAAGCACAAAGGGTGCTCAACAACAATCTCAGTCTAAATTCGACCAAAAGACTTGGAGTTTTATTTCAAAACTCTCCGTGTGTGCACGTTGACGTGCCACACAGATATTTACATGGTGATAAAGACCAATTATAAACAGTCAAAACAAAAAAAGAACAAGTTGACTAGAGAGAGAGGAGATAACCATGAGAGGAATAGCAAAAATTCAGCCAAAGGTCATTTAAGGAGAGTAGAGAAACTAAGTAAATAAATAGAATGAGAGAGCAAAGAGGAGATAACCACAAGAGGAATAGAAACAGAAATACTAGAGAGAGAGAGAACCACAAGAGGAAAAAGTTCAGCCAAAGGTCATTTAAGGAGAGTCAAGAAACTTAAAAGTAAATAAATAGTTTGAGAGTCTATCTTTTTCCTCTTCACAGAAGTGTGTTTCTCCGCCACAGCGGCCTTGCGTTCATCAGCTGTAGCCTTGCGTTTATCTGCGGCAGCCTTGCGTTTATCTGCGGCAGCCTTGCGTTTATCTGCGGCAGCCTTGCGTTTATCTGCGGCAGCCTTGCGTTTATCTGCGGCAGCCTTCCTCTTGGCTTCAGCAGCAATGGCATTTAAAGGTTAATTACATGGATTCTTTCTTCCCTCTGGGTGGAAGGAATGATTCAGTCAGTGAACAAAAATATTTTGACCAAGGAACAAATCAACTCACTGGGCTTGGGTGTAATGGTCTCCACTTGCTCTTCCACTTGATCTTCAACTTCTCCAGAGTCAACTGAAGCAAAATAAGTAACCGTAAGTAATTGAAGGTACAAATAAGCAGATGAAAAAGGTAGAACTCACTTGTTTGTTGTGCCATTACTGTGTTGCCTTGATCCATGCTTTCCACAACTTCTTCCTCATGAAGTGGTTCATCATATAGATCATATTCAGTTTTGGTTACAACAGGTTCAAGATCAGGTACACGAGACACTTTAATCTTGATCTTCAGATTTGAAGTAGTACTGATTTGACTAGATGGAGGGATTTGACCAGATGGAGGCTGGCTGGTAATGTGGATTGAAGACTTACTGGTTTGAAACGCTGGGATTTGGTTGTTTTCATCATCATCTTCAAGATTAGGAAGGCCCCCTCCAAATGGGTAGCTTCTGTAGGCAATGAGAAGGGGATAGTAGCATGGTGAGTTGGAAATTTCTTCATGAGATCACAAATCAAAACTTCAAGTTGCTTCTCTTCTGCCACCAAGTAAGCGCAATAGCTT